CATGGGGTGAGGAGCCCCCAAATGTGGTCTGCAAAGTGGGGGGCCCAGGGGCTTAGGGGGACCCATCGGAGGCTGAGCTACCATCAGGTCCCATGAAGGTAATCTCAAAATCCCGTTGTTCAGGGTAGGGATTTTTTCCTGCAGAAGACACTAAGAATAGATGGGTGCTAAGAGAAAATTCCCAGGGGGACTGAGCAGCTGTGGGGCCGCTGGGTTTTTGCTTGAACTTTATTTTATTGGGTGGAGAAATGGATCACTGGGTCCATGCAAGGAAAAGGGGTGATGGAAAACTGGGGAGGCCTTCTGTGGCTGTGCCCTGCGGGACTCTGTTCCCCATCACGTCCCCTCCTAGGGCTCCATCTCCCCCTTCTGCGGGGTGTGTGGGAGGGGACCCCAGCCTACCTCTCCCAAAGGAGGGGGAAAAAATCCTCTTGTGCTACCCAGTATCATGTAATCTGGGGCAAGCAGCGGTCCCTGGGTGCTGGTAATGGTCCAGCGGTGCCAAGGATGGGGTTCCCCCAGCCAGGGACATTGCTACAAGCGGCACACTAATGGGAAAACCACAGGGACCCCCAGCAATGACCGCTTGGTCCCCCTTTTCCTTCAGAGACGTGGCTCCGAGCGGGTTCATGGGAGCCCATGGGTCACAGGGCTGCAGCACAGCATGGCTATTAAGTGTTTCCATCTTTCCGAGGGAAAGCCATCCCCCCAGTGATGTTGGGAGTCACCGGCCACGAGCTTCCCAGGCAAGGGGGAGATGGTTGCCTTTGTAAACCCCTTAACAAGGTGGCTTTGTCTCCCCGTTTAACAAGAAGCTCCCTTGCTTCTTCCCTGGGAGTTTCCCAACGCCGGGTCCCTGAAAGCCAGCTTTATGCTCCGGCCGGGGACGCGCTGCCGTGGGGCCGGCGGGGATCAGAGGGACACAGGGGCCCTTCTGCACGCCCCTGACAAAAGGCTGCCCCGGGGGGACAGAGCGTCAAAGCTCAGCTGGCTCAGGAGGGGGGGACAAGGGACCCACAGAGGAGGCTGTGGCGCGAGCCCGCCGTCCATCTGGTCACTCGATCACGGTGGGCAGCGCCCCAGTGATGCTCAGGGAGGGCCAGGGGCGTCCTTCTGGTCCATCCCCCCCGGAAAGGGGGCAGGGGGAGAGGCTGGGAAGGTACAGGTAGGTTTTGTTGGCCGCAGGTAACCAGATCCGCAGCCGTTGGTGCCTCCCTGCCCTCTCCTCTGGCTTTGGCGGGGGGTGAGAGACGGGAGGTGGGAGCGAGGAGCCAAGGGCTGCAAACCGAGACCTCCATTCGGAGGGGATGATGCTTCCCCTTGGATGGATGGAAATGGGTTTAGAGAAACCCTTGAGGTGTCTCTGCAGCCCTCCCGGCTGGACCAGGACATGTGCCGAGGTAGGAGGGACCACTCAGGAGTGATGCTTGGCTCCGAGGGGCATCCCGGTCATGGCAGAGGCATCACCCATCCCCATGTCAGTGTCCGAGCTGCCCTCTCCCACCTCCTCACCCTTCCCCGGGGGCTCTGCTGGCCTCCGCTCAGTTTGGGAGCTCTTGCTCTTCCCTCATCCCATCAGCTAGCGCCCTGTCTCGCCTCCCCCCTCCAGCCATCTGCCTCCAAGCCCCCGGCCCAGATTTACTATCACGCATTAAAACCGCAGCTCAGCGCCAGGGTCAGCGTGTCACGGCGGCCCCTCATCGATTTGTTTTACCTCCCCTTGGCGAAAGCACTTTGGCCCCAGCTCCCTCAGCAGCGTAAGGGGCTTCCCGAGGCCCCCAGCACTCCCCTTGCCCATCCCGGACCCCGTGGGCACCGGCCGGTGGGCGGCCAGCTGAGCCACTGATCTCCTGACCCCCCCGGGGGCACCTAATGTGTCTCCCTGGTTTATCTGGATCAATATTTCTGCAAGAGCAAGGAAGACCCCTTGAAGCGGGGAGGGGAGAGGACAGGGGGTCCCACTTGTTTGCACAGCCCCACGGCTGGTTTAGTGCTTGGCTGGGCTGGGAGGGGAGGGAGACTCCAAACCAGGGGGGGACAGCTCAGACTGGGGGCGTTTGGGGTCTCCTCCTTCCAGCGAACGTTTGTGGGTCTCGAGCTCTTGTGCCGGGGCGTGATGGCCAGGGTGCCTTTGGGTCCAAAACCTGAGGAATTGGGGTGGCTTCAGCCCTCGAGCCCCCCACCCAGCAGGCAGGGGGGTGCTGTGGGCAGGGGGGTGGCGCAAGGTGCTCACCGGGCTCTGGATGAACGGCAGAGGGACCGAGGGACACCGACGGCCGCGAGCAGACGGCTGCGGGGAGAGCGCTCGATGGGGTGCGCTGCTGGCTCCCCGGCGTTCGGGGCCGGGCAAGGGATTTTTGAACTGGTGTATTTGGTGCCGGGGGTGTTTTTACAGGAGTCTGGAAGTGAAGGTAAAAGATGCACATCGGCTTAATAAGCCCAAGATGTGGGCTGCCGGGAGGCACGGCCGGGACGGCAGCCTCCCTCCCTTCCCTATGTG